TATATATATCTTGAAATTGTGTTTAAATTTTGTGTTGTTCACCGAGGGCAGTTCTACTTGCATTTCAATTTTGTGTTTTGAGTTCATTTTAAATTTTGTGTTTTGAATGTTCATTTTGAGATTGTTGAAAATTTGTTCTTTTTGGCATTTTGAAAAATTGTTCTGAAAACATCCAAAACGCGTTTTGAAAATTTTGCCTTGATTATGATTGAAAACACCCAAAACTACAAATTGTCGTTTTGAGTTTTCTTTGTAAATTTTTAACTTGTTTTCAAAATCGCGTTTTCAAAAATATAAAAGAGAATGCGTTTTCACTGTTTTGAAAAATTACAAATAGAAAACGAATTGAAAATGGTAAAGAGAACAGAAAACACGTTTGAGTAGATATGAACTTGCGTGCTCAATGATTTGACAAAAGGATATAAATGGGTTAGTCCAAGTCTCAATCATCTACATTTGTTTCTTGAAAAGGCAGGAGAACATAAAAATTAATTATTAAGAAATTATTAATTTACATTTATCATCAAATAATTCTTTTATCGTATTGTCCATAAATACACTATTAGAATATATTTTCTTTCGTAAAATATGGATAATTGATGCAAAATATCTCTATCATTTACCTTCATTGTGCAAATCGTCTATATCATTTCAATTTTAGTATTTAGACCCTCAGATCGATTTTTTTTTTCTTTTGTGCAAAATGTATTTTATCGTCTATTTTCTCCATTAAAATATATAAAATGATTAATTTATCATCCTTTATAAATAAACAAATAGAGAAAAAGAAACAATATAAAAAACATAATTGTAACTACAGTTACATGCCCTTACCCACCACTACCACCACCACCAAAATAATTATAAGTATAAAAAAAGAATTAAAATTAAAAAAAATAAAAAATAAAATGGTTCTTCCACATTCAATTCCGCACCCTATCATCGGCCACCACCTATTCTCCTCATCTCATTGCGACACCATCCAGGGATTTATCTATTTTTCTGTCATTAGGTTTCTCATTCCATTATCATTTTGTTTCTATCTTCTTGCTGTTGATTTTATATATAATTATATACATATATACCCATTCTATCTAGGAATGTAAACGGAATAAGTCGAGCCAAGCCTAAGCTCAGCCAAAAAATTAAGGCTCGGTTCAAGCTAGACAAGCCTTATAAAGTCGAGTCGGCTCGTGTTTTTTTTTTAAGGAATGAAATTCAAAAAAAAAAAATTAACAATATAATTATGTGCAAACTTGAAGGAATTGTTTGATAGTCCACGACAATATAATTATGACTTGACAATATATTGAAAGATATTAAAAAAAAAACTCAGTCGAGCTGTATTTTAAAACATGGGTCGGCTTAGGTTAGGGCCGATGCCCAAAAATGAGGTTCGACTCGAGCCTTAGCTCGCTCTTTTTTCTGGCCGAGCCAACGAACTTAAATTGACATCTCTAATTGTATCAACTTTTGGATTTTGCTCTGCTTTTGTTCAAGTTTTTTTTGCATCATAAAATTTTGTCTGAAATTTATTCTTTTGTTATAGGGTTCATTTAAGATTTAATTCAAATTCCAATCGTAACGGTTCTAATTCAAACCCAACTAAGAGGGGAAAACTTTTTCTGGAAGAATAGCAACTTGGTCTCTAACCTTTTAAAACTTAGCAGAGATTACCCAAATCTTTCATTTAGGCAATTGAAGACCCAAACCTTTACTTGTCGTTGCAGATTGAGGATACGCGGATGGAATCCGTCCATCAATCTGTTAGTTGAAAAAAAAGAAAAAACCAATTATGCCACATTTGTAACAATTTCAAAGGGAGCAAAATAGTCATTTTATCTATTTTCTGCATAAACATAATTAAAATCAACTTTAATTAACCAAAAAAGAAATACTTCATTTTCTTCTTCCTCCCACCTACCACACCACAAGGAAAACCCACTGCCATCACCTGTCATCGCCACCGCCACCGCCACCGCCACCGCCGCCGCCACCGCCGCCACACCACCCACCCACACAAATAGCATTCTTCTTCTTCCTCCCATCCCAACCAACCACAGCCAACACATCGTCGCACCGTTCATGGCCACCACCAAGCCCCGTTACTGTCATCGTCGCTGCTTAAGTTAAGGAAAACACTCAGATCTGAGAATCTGAAACAAAGATCAATCAAACCCAGATGTCATGTCTCGTTCTTTCACTCTAACCCACTAATAGGCAAGACGTCCTCGTCCAAACCCATTAATGGTTTCCGCCTTTTCGTGCTCTGATGGCAGTTTCCTCCTTCTGCCAAACCCGCCACTCTTTCTCCTCCAAAACCCACCATCCGACTGTTACCGCCGCAAATTCAAGCACTAGTTATTCCATTACCACTGGTCCATTAGACTCTCTTGAAGATGACCCTTTAGCGACCTCGTCTAGCCAGGTAATTATTGGTGTTGAGTCACGTTACCGAGTTGTCTACATCTTGTTAACTCTATTTATGTGCTTGCTATTACCACCATCGATGATTCCAACAGCAATGTGTTTGAATATCACCCTCGAAAAATTGAGTAACTAATGTGGAGATTTTTATGTCATTAGATATTGGTTAAGGAAGATAAGGGAAATGAGCAGAATAAGGTTGAGGAAGATGAAGGAGAGAATGATCCATTTGCAGCTAGTTTCGAATGTGAGCAAGGCGTTGGCAGGGCTTGAGGTGGCGGCGATGGCGCCGGGGTTTTGGTTGCGTGGGGTGGGGTGGGGTGGGGTGGGAAAAAGATAAACCTTTTCTATTTTATTTCTTTTATGTTAAATTAAAGTTTTTTTATCATGTTTATGTGAAAATATATAAAATGACTATTTTGCCCTCCTTTGAAATTCTTAAAATTGTGGTCAACTTGCCTTTTTTGGTCTACTAACGGGTGGATGGACGGATTTCATCCATGCGTCCTCCATCTGCAATGGTAAGTAAATGTTTGGGTCTTCAGCTGCCAAAATGAAAGGTTTTGGTAATGTTTGCTAAATTTTGAAAGGTCAGGGACCTTAGTTGCTATTCTTCCATAGGGATGAAGATTTTTTTATAGTATATTTTAAATGAGTCGAGATCTTATTTCTTCTTCTTTTTTAGTATTATTTCTTTTTTTCTATTTATTTATTTAAAAATGAAAGTAAATTAATCATTTTACAATGCATTAATGGAGGGGAGAACATGTACCTTTTACACAAAGAAAGGTCGGTCGAATGGTCCAAATGTTAAAATTGAAATCCTATGCATGACTTGCAAACTGAAGGTAGATGATAGGGATGTTTTACACTAATTACCCATATGTTGACGAAATGAATTGACGGAATGAGATGGAAAGGTCCACCACCGCAAGAAAATGTTGAAATGAGGTGCAAATGCCAAATTTGAAACGATAGAGACGTTTGAGAAATGAATACAATTAATAAGTACGTTTAATGCTAATTACCCTTTTTCTTTACTTTTGTAATAATGTTGAATTTTTATCAAACGTTATACATTGACAACTAAGTGTTGACAGGGGATTAAATTAGACCATAACAGTTAGGTCACTATGTAAGGGGATAGTACGCAAATGGCACAATGACTTTCTCTAAAATTCTAAAAAAAACATTTTTTTTTTCTTTTTTTAGTTTTTACATACAAATATTGTAAAAGAGCTTAACAACTTAAGGAAAAAAAAAAAAACTCGAGTTATATAAAATATAAATGAAAAGAAAACTTTTTGCTTACATTTCCTACCCTTTCTATAAAGACAAAATAATAAACAACATTTAAAGTGGCTCAAGTCTTGTGTGTATTTCATAATGGAGAAAAAAGTTGAAATCAAGAAAAAGGAAAAATCAAATCAAGCCACTTGATATTGCCCCCAAAAAGTTTGAGACTTGTCTGTTTTAGATGTTTTAATAGTTAATACTATGGAAAATTGCAGCAGCGATCCTTAATTTTTCTATTTCTTGAAAACTTTACCATAACCTACATTTTGTATTAGATGAGGTCTCTAACCTTTTATAAATATGCAGTTGGGATCCCTTTGGAGGGAAACCGTCCAAAACATCTTCACTTGACTTGAAAAATTAAAAAATTGAGTATATTGACCCTTTTAAGGAAGGGTAATTTCATCCAATCAGTATTCCTTACTTGATTTAAAAATTGAAAAGTAACCAAAGAATGAAGTATATGTATAAGGTTGAAAAGAAGATATTTAATGAGATATCGTTTTGGTTGGTGAGGAATGCAGATTTCATGTATTCAGTGAAGTTGCTTGGGGATGAGAGGATTGCTGAGTTGTGGTATTTGCCTATGGTTGAAGTATTGGAATTGCCATGGGATGAAAATGTGATAAATGATATTTCAGTTGTGGATGTTGACATATGTGAGGTTTTTGATAAGGTGGAAGAAACAAGGAATGCAGAGGATGATAGTCAACTTGAACACCATATCAATATGCTGTAGATTTGTATAATGATTTTGCAGATAGTGATGATCTGTATACAGTTGATGAGGTTCATTGTGCAGGTGAAATAGATGAAATGCAAGCAGACACATATGGTGATCATGAGGTCCATGTTGAAGTGGAAACATGGATAATAATACTGATGGATATGCTGATGTTGGGACATGAGCTTAAAAGGCTGGAGAAAATGTACAGGCTGCAATGGATGAATCTGTAGGTGATACTGATTTTGGGGTCGCTGTTGTTGAAAATTTGGAGCATGCAGTAGATGAACCTGCAGATGTTGAAGTGGAGGCAACAGTAGAGGAACCTACAGATTATACAATGGATGAGGTTGAAGAACCTACAGATGTGGAAGTGGAGGCAACAGTTGAGGAACCTACAGTTGAACATGAACCTACAGTTGAAGATAATGCACCTACTGTTGATGATACTCCATATGAACATGCATTTGAAGTTGAAGTGGAGGCTATGGAGGATGAACTTACAGTTGAACATGCTGATAATGCACTAACTGATGAAGAAAATGTGGTGGCGGATTTTTCAAGTGATGGGGAACCTATGGTGACGGTGATGAATATGCATTTTTTAGGTTGACTAAACTTCTTGATATTGGTGATGATAACATGGGTGATGAAAATTAGGACAATGCAGATGCTGCAGATGGTGATGGAACAGATTACGATGACTCAGATGACCTGAGAAGCATTCCAAGTGACAGTGAAGAAGGTAAGCAGCACAAAGATAAGATCGTGCTTTTGGTCCTAGAATTATAACTATAATTGAAAAAGTAAAGGCAAATGTAAGATACTTTAAGGTAGATTATGCCGGTAGTGAGACTTTTGAGGCCAGTAATAGAGATAGTATGAGATGGAGTGTGGACTTGGTAAGAAGGGAATGTGCATGTAGAAAATGGCAACTTACTGGAATCCCCTGTGCTCATGCAATCTCTGGTATGCTTTTTAGGAAATTGGCTTATACGAGTACGTTGATGCATGCTACACCATGGAAGCTTATCTCAGGACTAGTAATCCAACCAATGTCAAGTTCTGAGTTATGGCTTGAACTTGGTAGTTAGGTAGACCAAAAAAGATGAGAAAAAGGTCACAAGTTGAACCACCTGCTGGTAGAAAAAATGTAAGAACGGTTATAAAAATGACATGTGGAAGATGTGGAGGAATATGCCATAACAGGAGAACATGCACAACCTCATTACCTATATATGCAAGTTCCCGGCCAAGTTTACAAGCAAATACTTAGCAACAATCATAGCCAACATCACAGGGTAAAGAAAATCATCTACATCAAATGAGTCTCAGGCACATGCAAAGAAGAAGGATAAGGGAAAAAGAACTTAGCTTGTACTGCTTCTGTGTCCTCTTAGACTTCCATTGTTGTTGTATATGATCTTTTGTAAGGAATTAATGATATTGCAGACCGAAAATGATCTTTTGACATTGTTGACAAATATGAACTTGATCTGCTCTTTTGATAATGTACATTTCAAGTGAAGATTAAAAGAATGCTCAGCATTTCAATCATTATTTCAGTGTTATACATTCGATTTCATGTTATATATATATTGGAAGTGGAAATGGTCGTATTTAAACTGAACATTGTCTAGGAACTTTACAAAAGTTTGAGGGCCTGAGATTCAATTGAGTAAAATGTTTTGTACTTCTATTGCAACTTGTTTTGAAGGTTTGGGGACCTCTGGTGCAAATGGTTCGAAATGTTTGAGACTCTTTTCGTGACAAATGGAAAATTTTTGGGACTGTGTTTTGAGACTTATGCAATTTATTCGTGATCATCTATGCACCATCTTCATAATATTTTCCAAACAAAATTTCCCTTCTATTTATGAATCATTTATTCCCAACAAAGAAGAGAAACATAAGAGAAACAAAATATCAAAATACAGTTGAATAATAACATGTTTTATTACTAGAAAGTAAATTTGAAGACAACAGACCACACGATTTGTCACTATGAGACCTACATTACAACACAGAAACCCAACATCTTAACTCATACTTAACCTAGATCTTGGTACAGACCCATTTTACTAAAACTACACATACAAATCCAATGAACCAAATCTTCATGTTGCACGACCTCTTGAATGGAGGGTATTTATTTCATGTTCCATCTCCCTCCTTGCCCGTAAAAGCTTAGGAATCAGCTCCTTCGATCTCTCACACATTGGTGGGTCAACCTAGTCGAAGAAATTATATCTACCCGCATCTTTACGTCGTGGACAGCTAATAAACCTTCTTCCTGGGTTCAAGTTCGTCCATAAAGTCTTCATCTCCACAGGGAACCCACATCTATAGACATTCATCTCCATCTCCAATTTGAAAAGCGTTTGACAGTTGCTAGAGGTGAGAGAGAACAAATATTATTCAACAATGTGGAGGGAAATGTACAGTGATTTGAAAAGTATCAAGTGAGAAATATTGATTGGACGAAATTGCCCCTCCTTAAAAGGTTCAATACACTTGGTTTTTTAATTTTCGAGGTCAACTGAAAATGTTTTGGACGATTTCCATTCAAAGGGACTCCAGCTGTATATTTATGAAAGGTTAGGATCTCCTCTGACACAAAATGAAGGTTATGATAAATTTTGCAAAAAATGAAAATGTTAGGGACCGCTGATGCAATTTTCCCTTAATACTAAAAAGTAATCAAAACATAATCAATTATTTTTGAACTTTAGAAATAGGGAAAACTACTTTTCAATGTACTAATCAAAGCTAGTATGAATGAGGAATGGACGGAAGGTAAATTGAGAAGATATTTTTGTTTTTTTTAACCAAAAGTTGAAGTAGGTGGGTTTTCAATTAAAATTCATAAATTATCAATTAGACTAGATTAATATCTAGCAACCTTTGTATACTGTGTAAAGAATTGAAAACAGTTAGATAAAATAATTGGCAATATTACTATGTGTATCTCTTCTTAAATTTTATTAAGCTCATGTTTGAATCCAATTCTTTAAAACGTATTTTCAATTATACAATTTGCTAATAAAATAATTTTTCATGTAAATAAAAAGGGTTTCTCTACATTTTTAATCACACATTCTTTAGGAAAAAAATATATTTTTTCTAAAAAGTGGAATTCAAACGGGATCTAAATCTCATTAAGGCTCTGTTTGGGAGCCATTCTTTTTTCGAATAATACATTTTTTCTTTTACATCAAGTGTGGTCCATGGCTGGAAAGAGACACAAAAAATGTGTAATTTGACACAAAGAATGCATTTTTTTGTAGAAAAATGGTTACCAAACAGAGGCTAAATTCAAAATATCAAAAATATTTTTGTGTTCTCTATTTTATTTTTAACACTGGGTTATTGAAGCCGAACATTTTGTAAGGATTTATGAAAATAGAAAATTAAAATAAATGCAAATGTAAGACACGGTAAAGATAACAAAAGCGCCTGTAGCTCAGTGGATAGAGCGTCTGTTTCCTAAGCAGAAAGTCGTAGGTTCGACCCCTACCTGGCGCGTTTAATGTTTCATAATTTTTGTTTTTCTATAAAACCCAGCCTTCGACATCAAATTCAAACCAACAGTGAAAAACCATCGTAACTGCAAATTCATTTTTTCCAATCATCCGTACAAACTAATAACAATAACATCATTTCTTTTCTCGATAAAATTGTGCACAAAATCACGAGCAAAATACAATTGAAGTAAATACATCGACGATGTTTATTTGAGTTTTATTAAATTATGGAAACCTACCAAACTTTCTGCTAATTTGTTTAACCAGTATACTTGATTTTGTCCTTTTTTTTTTTTTTTTTTTGCTTTTTCGACTATTTCAAGAATTCCATCCCTGTCTTGGTTTTGCCGATCCACCCCTCAAATAGAGCCTGCAAATCTTCATTTTCCTTAGCCTAACATTCTGGAAGATCACTAGGAGGTGGCAAGATTGATTCATTTGGGCCTATACCATTTTCCACCAGAAATGCCATCTTAAGCCCCCATGTTGTATGAACTTCCAAGTGACAATGGAAAAACCAAATCCCTGCAAAATCAAATCTTCATCATAAATCACTGATATGTACTAAAATATGCATTTGCCATGCAATATCACCTTTGACTTGTTTGTAAAGTGGGTTTTGTAGCATTAACGAAGAAAAAGAAGCTAAAGACTCGTTCATTGTAGTGTCTATAACTACAATCAAGTAAAAACCAAAAAAAGAAGCTGACGAGGAAGCAAGCAAGCAATATGTACCTGGATTATCAGCCTTGAATCTTATTGCAGTCCAGCCACCAGTTGGTACACTTATTGTATTCCTCTCAACAGGATCGATAAGATTGAAATTTTTTGGATCATTGTTAGGATCGTAATTGCCAACGCCCTTCCCCACCACAGAAAAGTCAAATCCGTGCAAATGTGTTGGATGGCTCTCTGGTGCTATAAAAGAATTGCCTTGGATAACAATCTGAACTGTAGAATTATAAGCCAATCTGTATACTTTTGTGCCATTATTAGTCTGCATGTTCTGTGGTGGAGTGCCAGTGTAGTTAAAAGGGATAGGGGGATTTCCCGGAAAATCATCAGTGAAAACTCCACTTATGCTATAGTAATGCGCTTGAAGCAGAGCTGTAGTAGGCATAACAAAGCTAACATTGTTGATATCACCCACAACACGGCTTCCGTTTACACATGTAGCACATGGATTTACACCGACACCTAGGGTGAAAAACAATGACTGATCAATTTTCAATGGGACATTTGTGGGGTAAGTTTTGGAATTAAGGCTTCGAAGGGAGTCCATGAAGGATGCTGTTACTGGTGTTGCATTCCGTGGGGGCATGGCAGTGAGGGATGTTGTAGAAAATGGTGCAATGCCTTTGTAGCGCAAGATACCGGTTGCAGTTTGGTTATCTGTGGCTACTATGGTGTCCATAAATGGAGATATGGCCATTAGATACTTGCCAATACTTTGATCTGCTGCTAAAAGGGCTGTTGTAGTTTGGCCAGGACCTATGAAAATTGTGTCGGTTTGGAAAGGCTTTGTGTATGTAGCATCAACCCCAACAATTGTTAGATTGTGCCCTGCAATTCTGAAGAAGAGTTCTTCGTTAACTGCTGCGTTAACAATGCGCAGCAGGTAGATCTTGCCCGTTTCCACATGCAGAGTATAGCCTGCAACAACAGCAAATTAAAAACTATTGCCATATTTATGTGAACTCATTTCATTCACTATGTTCTATTCATTGCAGGATGCATAGGCACATCATAGAATTTAAGCAAAATATAATTTTCGGCTTCCAGCATCCAACATCAAAGCAACACTAGAGAAATATGGCAAGTATTTCACGAAAAATGAACTGTCTAGAGTAGTCGAAAAGAGATGGTGGCATGCAATAGACAATAATGCACGGGACGATGAACAAGGTTATAACTTTCTTTCTTCCTTAATCACATCTTATGCGGCCCCGCAATTGAAAATTCCAAGAAGGGCTTAATCAACTTATTATTCTTTGATATAATTAACTGGATGAGAAAAACAACAAGAATGTGTGTACCCCATTTCAGTACCCTTAGAAGTGCAATTTGCCACAGGTCCAGGAAGTCCATTAATGGTATGTGCATCTGATACATTAGGTGGCTGGCCTGCTTTCATAGCCTGGTTGATCACTGCCTCCACATCTGATTTCCACCATTCTCCTGCACGTTTCGTACTCAGTATTAGATCGTATTCGATAATATAATATTCAACATTTTTTAACTATGGTCTCGAAGCATGACTCGACAAGAAATGCTAACCAAATATGATTATTTCTTGCTTGTCAGGTTTGGGAAATGGATAAGGAACACCGCGTTTGGGCAACATAACAATGGCACCATGGACTGTTGCTCTTTGCCAGTTGATATGTGCATGCCAAAGAAGTGTACCTCTTTGTCCTGTGAGGGTGAAGTTGTATATATAGCTTTGCCCTGTCTGAATAGGACATTGGGTGATATACGCGGGCCCATCTGACCAACCTGTTCGCAACTGTCTAACTCCATGCCTGAAACGCAGTAATCTTAGTATATGTTTGGTACATAGTATTAGAAAAATATAAATTTTTAATCGTACCAATGGATTGTAACATTGTCTTTTACGTGGTTGACGACTCTGACAATCACCGTGTCATCTTCCCTTGCATAGAGAGTTGGCCCCGGGAACATCCCATTCACGGTGATAATGGGCTTAGTACTGCATAGTCTGGTTATGTTCTTCCTTACAACCTGCACAGAAACAGATTGTTCTACACCATCAAAACACATATAGAAATATAGAGAGCTGTATTCTAAAAAGCACTCATAAGCGCAAAGCGGGGGCGAAACGCCTCGCCTTAAGCACAAAATTAAGATGTCAACTTCCACTTAATGCACGCCTAGGTATGAATAGGCGGGTTTTATTGCTTTTTTTCCTTTTTTTTAAAAGACTTTTATTTAATTTAGTTTCAAGTTTGTATGATTGACTAAATGTAGAAATTATTGAGTAAATATAAGTATTTTATAATTTTAGATGTTTGATATGTATTATTTTAATTATTAATTAATTTTTAGAATGTTTAAAAATTTAAAATAACATTAAAATAGGAAAATGCTTTTTTACGTCTAGGCTCGTAAAGCTTGAAGTTTAGCCTCCATGCCTAGTCACGCTTTACGCTTTTTAAAATACTGATAAAGAGACGGAGCGGTGTCAATCGAAACGGGTCAATTAGGCATGACATTATTTCAGAGAGGCCGGATGGCCACTAATTATCTTCGGCTAGTTTTGATTTTATGCAGGCTGGGTCAAACTGGTGATCTCAACGGTTGTTTTGTAAATTAATACGCAAATTTTTTATTGCAACTAAGTCACTTTGTCCAAATCCATTAACTTCAGTAATGACAATATCGACATAACGGTTGATCGTTGATCATGTCAGTATTTTCATTAGCAAACTATCGTGGTCCGATGAAGTCAGACTAAACATTAAAGTAAACTAACAAGTCTTAAAAAATTTAGAGTAAGGAAAACAGTCGAATGGCTTAAATACCACATCAATGCTATTAAATTTCAACAATGCAGTGTTTGGCAACAAATAAAAGAAAAGGCATCAACCAGTATGAGTAAAATATGATAATTCATAAGTTTATGAAACTATAAAGACAAGTTTCTTACGTTAAACTGGATAATATTAAAGGAGTAAACGACTGGTCTGCAACAAAATGTACTTACACTGAATTTGTAGTGACGAACAATGGATTCAACACTCGAAGGATGCCAGAAAACTGCCACCATCAACAAAGCAAGAACCCGAAATGACATCATTTTTTTTTCCTCTGAATTCTAGATTCTGTGTTTAGCACAAATCAATGTTTGACCTGTTCACATTATAAATGAAGGGAGAAAATGAGTTTATTTATACTGTGATGCTACGTCATTTTACTTGGTTAGGTGAGTAGAAATAGCCAGCCACGAATTCAGAAGTTTTCTTGCATATTACACAAAGTAGTTATTTGTCCAGGAACAAGTTACTCTGCTCTCATTCCTCTTTCAATTGACTGCAACTGATGTGAGAATACCAAAACACTACTCTCCCCTTTATACATTGTTCTTCCTCTCTGTATATAACATAAGAAAATAATTTAAATATTAATATTAATATTTTCAATACGTCCTCTCACGTATACTGAATTAGGTCCCTGCCCCGATTCTTGTTCGTCTGGTGTTTCGTGAATTCAAATTTTTTCATCAAAAACTCGAGATGCAGATACGAAATAAAAGAATTTATTTAAATGTAACTTGTATATGGCTGTAATGTACGTAGTATGTGTTATGCAGCTGTTTTAAGCAAAAGCGTTGTACTATACGCTTCCAGAAGAGTATACTAGTATGGGAAAGGTTGATTGTAATGGTTTACTATTATTAAAAGACTCCTGGAAGAAGCAAAAGGATATTTATAGTTGAGAAATAGTTTTCATGAATGAGAAAATCAAGGTATAATTGTTACCTTAACATCTTTACAATGCAGAGATTAGATGGGGTTTACTAGTCATAGCTCCCACCTTCAACTCATTCCTAATACCCACTTAAGTAAAATTTTGATTTAGTGATTATAGAGTATATATACTAAGGCCCCCGCGACAATTTTTTTTTTTTTTTTTTTTTT